TTTTACTTTGAAGCTCTTATAACTAGTTTGCTGAAAAAGATACTCAAATTCTTGTATTGGATGCTTAACTCCTTTTTAGAGTCATCATTACCTTATTCAGTGAAAACCATTCCATTATGCGAACTTCCAACTCTTGCACCCTCTATCCATTTTTTCATTGTATATCGATCGAAAATCCTTAAAACATTATTGGTTGTAAGAACTTTAAATCCATATGAGCATAATATTCCGGAAAACTCAAATTTCTTACAACTACAACAAACAATATCATCAGACGAGTTGTTTGTAATAACATTACCTCTTAATCTTCCAAGATAACTAACTTGATATTTGTACCAATGTAATGTATGTTACTTACAATTTCAACACAATCAAAAGTTTTGCATAACTCATCTTGAAAAATCTTAAATGCTTATAAGGTATATAAGCCTGCAACATACTTAACAGTGGAATTGACATAGATGGAACAAGTGTGCTGTTTTTTTCTTTGAAATCATCATTCAATTGCTTTTCTTTAATTTTGAACAATTGCTTCAATCAATCATTTTCTCACAAATCATATTTGAGCAAAATTTTATTCCATTCTTCCAAAAAATTATCTTCTTTCTAAAAATTGTATATACATCTCCCAAAGTCAAGTGTAAAACTTTTATGTTTAGAAAAAATAGAACTAAAATATATTACAATATTTTGATAAATGTTGTCAAATACACAACCTGAAAAATTGAACAAAAATGAAATAAATTAATTCATTCCAATATACTTATCCTTTCCAAAATAAAACACAAAAGTAATGCACCATTTTTTTTTATATGTGTAAAATACATACATGTGATTAGTCTCACACCATGTCGAAGCGAATGCATTCGCTATAGTATGATCTTGATTGGTCACAATCGTAGTAGGTTTTCTTTCATACAATGTGTCAGAAAAAGTCTCAACTAACCACTCAAAAGATGAAATAGTCTCATCATATAAAAGTGCTGAGCCAAAAAAGAATTATCTGATTATAATGATAAACACCAACAAATAAGACCAAATGACGATTTTTCCTATTATTTCTACATGTAGTATTGAAATTAACTACATCACCAAAATCAACATAATCAGTTTTCATCATGCTATCAACTCAAAAATATATTTGTAATCAATCCATCTTTGTTTTCTTGAATTGAATAAGAAAATTATGGGTCTTTACTTTGCATCTCTCGCAAATATTCTAGCGCTCTTTCGGTATCCCTAACCTCCATATTTTTTATTCTTTTGGATCGTAAGTAATTTTATATCTTAGTCGATGAATTCTAAGTTATCTTAGTTATATGCTTCCTTAACCATAAGATTATGTGAGATTTTTAGAGCAAGTTTCTCTCATTCGTTCATATCAATTTGGGCAGTATAAACATTGTCTATCCTCCTATGAAACCTAAATAAATCTTTCATTCGAATACTGGTCAAATGATAAGTATGTTCATATATAAACATGGATACTTGATATTTCACATTATCCTTCAAATTAATTTTCATCAGTCTTACACTTAAATTTTGTTATAGTTGGTGAATTTTTTATATAAATATTTTTTTATCTTCTTCCTTTTAAGTATTACAAGAAAATAATTCATCTTTATACTTTGATTTTTATGAAAATTTTGTTGTTTTATGCCACAATCTATTTTTACGTAGCAAAGTTGGGAAAAAAAATGGTACAATAAAAAAGAAAGAATAGAAGATGACTACATATCACACATCTTTTTATTTGGATAAAAGGATAAAAAATAAATAGTGACAGATATCCCCACACAATCTTCCATAACATTAAATGAGTACATTAGTTAAACAAATTTGATAGGTGATTCAATTGCCCTCTTGGTGCATTAAAGGTGTGTTGTGTGGGGATAGAATTTTAAATTCACTATTCATCCTATTTTTTTTATTCAAAAATATGAAATCAAACACTTATTTTTTATTTTTATATTATACTAAAAATTAATTTTACTTTCAAACAACACATCAACACTTATTTATATCACATCATATAACTATTCAAATTCAAATTTTTTACTATTCAAATCTCAACTAAAAATCCAAATCCCAAACAAACTCACCCTTAACATTATTTGTCCGCACTCCAATTTCAACCATCTTTTTACCTTGCATTTGCTTACATGAATCTATGATAATCAATACGTTCATAAGGTATTTGCATTGAGGTGGACATGACATGAATATTTGTAAATATATAGGTATTTAATTTTCAAATAGAACAAAATACCCACAACTTTGAATTTTATTCGAATGGAAAATATTTACAGTAACTGTAAATAATTCAAATCAAATCGAACCAAAATCAAAATAGAATATAATAATTACTAAAATAAAATTAAAAAAACAATAATATAAATATATTTACTTCTATTCAATTAATAAAGAAAAATATCAAAAATTGCAACCGAACCGAATCGAATAAATATCAAATATAACTTATATGTTTTAAGAGAGGTTTTTTCAAGATAGTTAGCCACCTCAACTTTCTCGTCGGGCCTGGTTTGCAGAATATTAGGTTCGGTCGGGGGTTTACCGAGTGCGCACTTTCGGGTAGCGGTTGCGGGTTTCCACGTCATCCAAAAAAAAATCACAATAACAAATTCATAAGACTTTTATGAGCAATGGACAGGCTTTTGCAACTTTTTAAGATCAATATTCACTTCGTATTATCTTGTACCATTTAATCAGTGTTTGCCTAAACACTTTTTATAAATCACTGTACCAATAAATTCAATTTTCTTTTTTTTTTTTAAAAAAAATATGATATCAAATATTTATTTATTTTTATAAAATATTAAATTAAAATTTTAATTTTATATTCCTCTGTCTTGGTCAAGATGACCCATTTACTTAAGGACACAATATTTTAGGTAGTGTAGATTAATAAATTATTAATAATAAGTTATGATATTATTTTTTATATAAGTAATGTTTTTAGTATTTTAAATATTTTTAGCATTATATATCATTAAAATATATACAATATGGATCTCATTTTTTTAGAGAATAAAATTTTATATAATACAAAAAATAAAAAAAATTATATATTTATTTATAATTAATTTAAAACTAATTTTATTAAAAATAAAGAGTTTTAAATATAGATAAAAATATTTATTTATTAAAAATAGAGATAAAAATAAAAAATTTTTAAGTAAGTTATATGTAAAATATTTAGAAATTTAATTAATTAATTTATATTTGTTATCTGTCGGTGACTGAAGGAGTATTATTTTTAAATTTGATAAAACTCTAAAACCTCAAAAAAGTTTTCAAAAACTTCGATTTTATTTCTTATATTGGCTTGGTCAATATATATACATATACTATACTAGGCGTTCGTAGTGTGCTAAGCCGCACAAATTTGAATTTATATATAAGAGAATTTTATGTTTTTATTATAATTTTTTGAGACAATAAACAATTAATCAAAATATTTTTTACATAAAAAAATATATATTTGAATTTTTAGGATAAAATATACCATAAACTATATATATAAAAGAATAATTGAACAAATTATTAAAAAGAAAGAAATTGTTTCATCATAAAAAATATTTTTTTTTTTAAATAAAATGGTGATTAACTTACGATATGTTTGACCCGATATTTTTTTATTGTTTTCTTTTAATTAAAATCATAATTCACATTTCTTGCATATATATATATAAATAAATATGTGATATATGTATTACAAATTGTCCCAGTCGGTTTTAAAGAAAATACCATTTTAAAATTAAATTTAAAAAGTTACTACTAAAAATCAAGAGTTTGTTTATTTTGTGAAATTGTTAGAAGAGATATATATTTTATTTTTTTATGTATGATACAGAAATAATTGCATAGATAATATAAAAATAATAAATGTGTGTAATATATTAATATTGTAAAAATATATGTTGATTTGTTTTCACAAAGGACATAGCTTAACATATGTTATAGGATCACCAATATATATTTATACATATTTCAGTATATATATAATACAACATATATTATGTTGTAACACAATATGAGTTGAGAATTGAGATATGTATAAACATATATTGACACTTCTAGAGCATATGTTGATTCGATCATATTAGCACCACGCTGACTTGCCGAATTAGTACAAAATCTAAGCCTTTCACAAAACAAACAAATTATAAGAGTTAAAAAAAAGTAAAAATTTTAAAATTAATATCAATATAAATCATATATAATTAGTTTTCCTTATAACACGAATAATTTAAATATTAATAAATATATTTATAGAAAAATTAATTTAAACATAAACTCCAAGAAAAGTAAATACAAATATTTTCTATATTTTATATATACTAATATACAAAGAAATATAAATAAATGTTATGGATCAATTTTAAAAAATATATAAAAAAATTATTAGTATAATTGTATTTCAAAATATATTAATATTCTTTATATAAAATTTAATCTAAATATCTTTTATTTTACTCTATTAATTATCTATAGTTTAAAAAAATATCATGCACTCATTGAAAGCAAAATAAACAAAAATGAACAATAAAAAATGCATTAACTATTTTTATTTTGTATTATCTAACCGGTCAAAAAATATAAATTTTTTTCATGAAATTTATTTTTTTAAAACAAAAGATCCTATAATTATTCTGTCCTAATATAAAAGTAAATTTCAATAAAAATAAATTTAATTGTGTTATGTAAAATAAATATAATATCGTTATATAATAGAATTAATAAATTTAATATTGTTGTATAATAGAATTAATAAATTTAATTAATATAGTAGAATAAATAGTTATATTTATTATGTTTTCAGGGTAAGAGATAGGAATGAAAATAAAAATTTAAAGGGAAGGGTATTCATGTAATTTTAAGTAGGCACTTTTTGTTAATATATATACATACACGTAGTATTGATATTGATATTGATATTGATATTGTTATTGATATATATATAATATATGTATATGTCTGTTTTGTATGAAGAATCTGTTGAACTTTGAAGCAACTCGTCAATAATTGTTGGTACCAAGAAAAAGGGGTCGTCTACAGGGACGGACGATCAGTTCACCGCAATCTTCTGAAACTAGGGGAAGGGAAGATGGTGGGCGCCCACGTGTCGATGGAGGTAGCGAAGACGGTCTTGGAGGTGGCTGACGTCGCCTGGACCGCCATAGAACGATGCCATCGCCACGAGAACACCATCAAGGAAAACGGAGGACACGATGATTCCGAAACCCTAAAATCGGAAAACCAACGTCTTCGCCAATTGCTCGAGAAAAACCTCAACTTCCTCCAAGAGATCTCGGCCTCGCCTCACTTGCTGGAAAATTGCCCATCCGATGTATGTATCGATGTCATTCTCTTTATTTTTTCCCTTCTCAGAGCTCAATTTCGGTGGAATTTGTAGATGAATTTGGTTTCAATTGCAGCTTCATGATCGTCTCATGGATGCAGTTACTTCCGAAAGCTTCCTGAATAAACTCGAAACCCTCCATCAAAAACCTACTTGCACCTTCCCGTTCGATGCGCCCTCAGGTTATTCAATCACCATTATCGAGTTTCATCTCATGCTTAGTGATATTAATTTAGCTTCTAGGTCTAATGATATTCTTTGTTTGTGAACTGAACCTGCCCTATTTTAACTTCTGCTTTGATTGTATTCTGCATCTATAATTTGGGCTCTGTGTTTTCCATTCAAGGTGATTTGTGTGTGAACTCTAAAACTTTCCAATGTTCATAAGCTATGGACTTATTACAATTTACAATTAGTTGTCTTTCTGAGGCTTTGAGATTAAATGGTAATATTGTTGGTTTGCTATTTGTTCATGGTAAATTTTATACCAAATTCAGGTGGGGATATGGAGAATGCAGAAATCTTGATTAAGGTTGATCATGAGGACCCGAGTTGGTGGGTGTGGGTATCCAACGATATGGTCTCTAAAAATATTGAAGAGAAGAGTGAGATTGACAATGAAAACTACGTGATAGTAAGTGAGGAGCATGTGGTGGATGGAGTTGCTACCTTCATGGCGAGATGCATTTTGGCAAATCCGAAAGCTCTGGTATGTAAATGAATGGCGATGTTATCACTTTTTGCTTGTAAATGATTCATAGCATATTTTGTTTCCTGACAATATTCTTGTTTCTGTTTCCTGGCAATGCAGAGTTTAAGTCCTCCTGAGCTACAAAAAGGTAGAAATTGTATTTGGTTGATTGCTTGTCCCTCGATTTTACTTTCATATTGTTTTCAGTGAAATTTTAATGTGGGCTGTTAAAATTGCAATCGTGGTAGATACATGAAGGCAAAATTAACTATAGACCTTATTTTTATACCTGCATTCTTGGGAGATCTACTTCTGCTTTTATTCACAATTAATGAAATTTATTTGCTTTCAGCCTTGACTAAAGCTCTTGGAGGCATGAATAAAGTAGGGAAAATGATGAGCATTTGGCATGCCGGGAAGATGTTCTATACTCTGTCCATATGGGGACTTGCTCTGGCCAGGTATGTGAATCTGAGGACTGAATGTTGTTGTAGTAAGTTTGGTATGACACTGGGCAGCTCTCAATCCGGAGTATCATGTTGTTGTTACTTAGATTTCATACTTGGAAGTGATTATTGGCTGTGATTTTTGTAAACACTGGGAGCTTAATAAGAGTTTCAACCTTGCAGTTTGTGCCAAGGTCGTGCTGTATTGAAGCTCGCCATGCTCGGTGTCCATCATACAAGCAAAGCTGCTTTGATGATTCTCTGAAGATGTGGTTTGTTCTCATGTATATATTTTCATTCATTTCGAAAAGACACATGATAACATTGTTTATTTGGCTAAATGTCGAATGTACATAAATGCATGCCAATTGTACAAAGGGTACTTCTACAACGCTGACTGTTGAATGAAATATCAAATTGCACAATCTTTCTCGTATTTTTTCATCTGTTAACCTCACCCGCATTAAATTCGAAGGAAAAAGTAGTAGCATATGAATAAGATTCCAAGGTATTCAAATCCCAGGGTTATAGCTCTCCGTTTCCTTGATAGTTCGACATTATTGTGTCTAATTGAGTGGGAGAAGAATTGGTATAAGAATGTCTTTTAAAAACAGGGCAATCGTCAGACTGTGAGCCATCTCCCTGATCCGATTGATGGCTTATCCTTGTGAGAGTATTTGCCTGACTTCGATTGCCAAATCAAAGACATGCTTGTCTTCACATCCTGGAGACCAAAAATGCCACAAGATTTTCAGGTAAATGGAGAAATTGCACCCTGGAGATTGAGGTATGTGGTAATGATAAATGTCGTTATTACCTATTTGTTTGAGGGCATTTTCCAATTTGAAGAGGTATTCCATGTTTGGTCCTGAAGGGCCATTTGCCTCATCTATTTGGCTGCATGATGGAAATCATTCGACAATGAATCAGGCAAAGGTTCTTACAACAGATGCGTGGAAAAAAGAGCACATAGGCGGCAATTTCTTGGAGGAGGGCAGGTCCCAAATACTTCACAATAAGCTTCTTGTCTGCGGATCCTATGTATCTGAAACATCAAGACAGAGAGATAAAGATAGCGAGCGACGCAAGGAATGAACAACTGTCCTATAATAAGTACTTACACCAAGACATTAGAGACAGCAGGTGTGTAGAACCAGGGTCCTGAAAGTATGTAAGAAATTTTGAATGAAAAATGTGCGGAAATCCAGTCAGAGAAGGACCAACAGAGAGACAAAATGCTTACAGTGAAGAAGTCAGACATAAAACCTTCTTGTCATACTGCTTCTCCTTTACTTCAAGGTGCTACACAAGAATTACATTGCAGGGAAAAGATTTATTCTTCTGTGTTGGAAGAAGTAAACCAAAGCAGATAATGAAGTACCTCTGGAGCAGTTTGTTGATCTTCCTTGCTGGTTATTTTGTAAGCAATACACAAGACATGGAAGGAAATACATACAGTAATATAATTCACAAGTGGGCCATTTAGCCAGATATGAGGAAATGCATCACAACTAATAATCAGAATGAAATATTTATGAATTAATTGCAGCAGGAAGATGAAAGAAAAAATTAACATTTGATTGAATAGAGATGGAAAAGAGGCAGCAGGCAGTAGTAGCTGTCAGGCACATCAAAGATGTATATATATATATATATATGTCGAGGACTGGTATATGACCATGTGTACAGATGTCTACATGTTATATTATTTTTACCCTGTGCGAATTGTGCTATTTTGTACATAACTATCTGAAAACTTGTTTCCTTGAGTGCAGTTGTTATGGCCAATCAACAAGTTTTTTTCTTTGCTCTCTGTTTTTATGGTGCAAATAGACACTTTTTTCATTTACTTACTAGATTAAAATATATCAATATGGATATTATTTTATAAATTGTAAATTTTATTTATACAAAACTCTTTACAATAATCAAATACTATGAATCTGAAAGAAAATTCCCAAAAAAATAGATAGCAGGACGAGGGATGTTGTGCACGCAAAACAAAAAAAATTGAGGTTTGAAATGAGTGACAAGAATTTTGGCACGTCTTTTAGATTGTCTTAGAAGAGACTGAAATGAATGAACGGGTGTGTTATTAAACCAAATAGCCTAGAATGACCGACAAGAGGATCGGTAAGAGGATGTCGGACAACATATGCCAATCAAACTGAAGAAATAAAACAGATTTTATTTTGAACCTAATTTATTTTGGGCTTTTGGGGTAATAAATTAAAGAATTGAATTAAAATTACGAATAAAATTGAGTTTGGAGCATTTTGGGCCCAAGTAGAGTAAAATAAATAATAAAAACCAAGTCTTTTCTCCCTTGGAGGTTTTCTTCTTCAAACTCAATTTTTCTCAGATAATGGGATTAATAAGCCCCTTCTATCGATACTTTTCAAAATTATTTTCAAATGGATTTGCCCTAAAGTGTTAGGTTTTGATAATTTCTTCTAGAAAGTTGATTATAACGTCCACTATAGCTTATGTGAAGATTATTTTTGTATTCTAAGCTTACAATCATAGAATATATGGAATTGATTTGAAATCCTAGTTTTACCCTAACCTAGTTATAGTTTTTTTGGGAAAAGATTTATAATTATGTTTAAATACTATAATTTTTGGAGTTAGAACATATTATTCGAATATTTATTTGACGAAATAAAGTGAGATTATAATGAACTTGTTGGATTTTAATATCCTAATTTTTAATTGGTTAAATGTTGGCAATTGAAATGTTTTGAGTTTAAAGCTCTCCTTTTGAAATTTGCCTAATAACATGTTGAGTATTGGGTCAAATTAGTGATTAAAACTACCCGTCGAGTCCGAGTAACTCGTCGATTATTTGGATAATAAGGCATAGACTTCCACCTCTGTGTCTTGCAAACACGTGAGGGTATACTGGTATTTTAGAATAACTAGCTAACTTCGAACTAGAACCCGAATGGGCTAGGCCGAGGGATCGAGATGATGGTTCCCTTTTTGGGTGATTCCGAGGTACCCGTCATTCATAATGAAAAAGTCTTTGAACCGTCTTCCGTGATAGAGGGATGAATTACGTACAATCCCTTCTTGGTATGTTATATTGGAGACTAGAGGATTGTGAACCATTTGGCTCCTCTTGCAAACTAATAAATAAATTGACTTACGTGTACATTTGGACTTAAAACCCTTATGTACCTATTGTGGAGCTTTTCTTGGGGGTTGTGACCCTATGTTTGTAATGTGTAATTATGTGACATGTCATACGAAGTAATAAGGTTGGAAAACCGGGTTGAGCCGGCCCTAATTAAGGATTAGGGAAGTTTTTTTCGTGATGTGTTCATCACAATTACTTGAGAATAAAAGCGAGATATAAGAGAGACGCTAAAAGACTTATGTGTGTGAGTTGTCCTTATGTGATATCTGACATCTTATTCAAATTATATTCTTCAAATGATTTTGTGGCATTTACCTTGATTTATGACTTATACGGTATTAATTTATCTTCGATAATTGCACTTACTCAACCGTTATGTTGACTCTTTTTCTACAACCTCTTTGTAGGTGATGGTGCTTCTGTTATACCTAAATGATGCATCCACGTCATATGATCCATCGGGAGGGACTATACTATTTTATCTTCTAGAATGCTTTTGAAATTCATCAATTATGTTTAAGGACTAATGCCTTTTTAACAATTTCCAACTTATGCTTTTTACTCGAACTTTACTCATTTAATTGATAAATCGGTGCACTTTAATTTTAAATCATTATTTAGTTGTTTGTATTAATTATTTTAGCCTTAGCGCCACAACGTAGGAGTCATTGGTTGATGAACAAGTCTTCTGGTATGGCGTGGCGGTGACACTCTAGTTTGAGCAGGCCGGCGTGTTATACAGTTATCCAAAACTATACACTTCCTTATCTCTGCATAACAACCGATTTATTAAGATAACCAAATTGGTGATACCTACTTATACGCAACAAATATTTGATTATTAGTTTGTAAATATTGGAAATCCCTTTTCTTAGCTGTATCAAATTGTCGTCCACACATATTGTCAACCAATTGTACCAATCCAGAAGCAGAGGATGTCACCTTTTCAGTTTCAGTATGAGCATGTGATAATTCCTTGTACTTGTTCACAAAACGCACCATCCCAAAAAGTTCTCATTCCCGAACAAAGTGCAACACATTTGATATAGTATGCTTTGACCTCTTCTCCGCTTAGAAACAATTCCGAAGCATTTTCATAGACTCAATCTCAGGTAGAGCTCTTAACGATCCGAGCCGAGCCGAGCCGAATCAAATTTTAAGTGTTCATTAACGTTCGCGAACAAGACTCGTGTTTGTTCATTAAGCTTTCGAGCTCCGCTCGTTAAGAATTTTTGTTGTTTGAGCTCGTGTTCGTGTTCGGTTCGTTTAGGCTCGATTAAGTTCGTTCGAGCTTGTTTGTCTTATTTTTTAAAATTTATATAAAAATTATAAAGAAAACTTAAAATTATTTTATGTATATATTTTAAATTAATGTTTTATTTACTTATAAATTATAATTTTATATGTATATATAATATTTATAATAAATATATTATTTAAACGAACGTTCACGAACAAAGCTCGGGCTCGTTCGTTAACCAAACGAGCTTGTTTATGTTGTTCGGCTCGGCTCGTTAACATTCGCGAACGAGCTTTTACCGAGCCGAATCGAGCCGAACCAAGCCGAGTTTACGAACGGCTCGATTCGTTTAACAGCTCTAATCTCAAGCGCATAATACACCGAGTGTAGAGCCGAATAAAAATATATTTCCGGGACATCAAAATACCCTGATCCAGAAGCCATTCTTTTTTTCAGCCATTATGTCATAGTAACAACCTTAGTTAAAATTGCCTTTTTTTGGTTGGAGGAAAAGGCTGCCCAACTTTATGATATTTGGGGCGAATGAATAACACTAAATGCAGCGGTATTTTAAAATACTCGATCGGTTTACTTACGATGTTTATATTTATTTTTGGCACGGTGTTTAATAAATAATAGTATTTTAATTATAGTGAGTAGTTAAAAATAATATAATGATATTTTTGCCCTTATTTTTTTGTGTAAAAGTAATGATGTCATATAAAGTAAGAGTATTTGTGAAAAAAAGTAGGCTATTTAATAAAATGTTAACTTTGTAATTGGACGTTCCAAAATAGAAATATGTAAACATTGTAAGTGCACGAAGGGAGTATATTATTTTTATCTTATAAAATATTTAAAATGAAAAATAATTTTATAACATTTATAAGAAATTCATTAACTTACCACAAAAACTTTAAAAAACTTAAACATTAAATAATATCGATCATCTCCCAATAACTATTATCGATCATCCCCCAAAGAAGTTTTTCATTTATTACTCTCTTCGTTCCGCTTACTATATCCATATTTCTATTTCGATTTGTCCCACTTATTTTGTCACTTTTCTTTTTTGAAAAAGAATTATACACTTTAATCTTATTTTAATTTTTTAAATTTATAATTTTTTTAATTTTAATTAGACTAATTAGTTATCCAAATTTTAATCTATAATTATTTTTATTATACGATAATTATTTTCAGTAATATATTTTTAATTATTTACTAATTATACCCCTCGTAAGTTCTCGTATGTACAATGAAACGGACGTGATATCTGGGATGAGGATGGAGAGAGTATAATTTTTTACTCCCTCCGTCCCACATACTATATCTATGTTGCCGTTTCAGTCCATCCCACATACCATGTCACTTTCATTTTTTGAAAAATGATTACACACTTTAATCTCATTATAATTTTTTTAATTTTAATTAGACTAATTAGTTATCTTAATCTTAATTTATAATTATTTATATTATCGGATAATTATTTTCTCTAATACATTCTTATTATCTACTAATTACATCCTTCCTAAAATACAATGTCTATAGTATAGCAGACACGGAACCGTGGGACGGAGATAGTATTTTATTTCCTTTCACATTATCTATTTAAAACCCATTATTCTTTTACCCTAAATGGCTAGAAATCGGCCAGCCTATTATAATATACATACATGCAAAATCAAATCAACCGGTGTCATCCAAGTTTCCTCGTAGCGCTCATTGTGGTACTGTTTAAGGATGCATTGTAATTTTTTTCAATTGATGTGCATAATAGTTCACCAATTATTTTTTCTTTTTTGCAAAATTTATTTTCAACTTATATATTTTTTATTTTGTAACCATTCTTTTTTTATTAAAATAAACTTTATTCTTTACAAAAATAATATATATATATTGATATGCTTTCGATTTTTTCCCATAATTTTAAAACATATTTTTGCATTAAATTATATTGAATTTCATTCATAAAAAGAATTGCAATCACACCATATCAAAATTTGTCATTCAACAAGTCTGTGGATGTGAGGAAATGTATAGATACATATTTTTTTGCATGCCAAATGGACAGGGGCAGCAATTTGACATTTTTACCCCTATTTTCTCCCGATATTACTCTTTCGTCCAACCGGGCAAAAGAAAAGTACACACTTGCAAGTGAAAAAGTAAATGGTAAATTATATAACACTCTATGTATTTTAATAAAAATGTATAAGACATAATTTTTTTATTTATTGCGTTAAACTCCATCGTGTTAATGCAAAATTTGCACGAAATACTATTTTTGTCTAAAACTAGTATTTGATTGTAAATATGAATAAAAAAATATAGATTTTATACAAATAAAAGAAATAAAATATCTTAAATATTTTTTTTTTGAATAAAATAAATAAATAAATAATTGATTAATCCTAGTGTTTTGAAACAAGTTGTTATCTAATTTTTACAAAACTATAAAAAAAAATAAATGATTGATCAATTATTTATTTATTTATGTCATTCAAAATAATTATCTAGGATATCTTATATTTTATTTGTATAAAACTTGCATAATTTAGGTCTTTATTTAAAACCAAACATTAACTTTGGACAAGGAGGATATTTCGTGCAAATTTTACGTTGACACAAAGGCGGTTTCACGCAATAAATAAAACACAAAGTGTTTTGTGCATTTTTACTGAAATACAAGTGAGTGTTTTATAATTTACCCAAAAGTAAAAGTAGATGTAAAAATTATGTAACCATGCCTACAACTTCTCATATATATTCTAGGCTAAATCGCACAAAACCCGTGTGATTTCACAAAATTGTGCGGGATTTCCTATACTTTCAAAATTGCGTCGAACTTCCTCGTGGTTTTACAAACTCTGTGTCTAACCCCTTGGTCATCCTTATTTAACTGTGTTTGACATACACATAGCTCACAATAGCTTGTTTGATCATGAATCCTGTTAAATTTTAGTTCCAAGATGATAATCTTAGCCGTCACTGTTTTGTCTTTTAAATCTATCTGTCCTGTCCAACATCTTCTTTGTTCTGACTAATTTTCAGTTTATAGGTAATGATTCTTAGATGTACTGTCAACAAGTTTTACACGGTTGTAAATAAAACTTTAGCTATGACATGTAGCAGAAGAGTGTAATAGGGATCCAGATGATCATATTATATTCATATTTTAGTCTGATTACGATGAATCTGGTCCGCTTGTTTAGTACTCCTCCTTCTCAAATACCGTGTCTGCTACACTGTAGATACAATATTTTATGAGGGATATAATCGGTAGATAATTAAGAATGTATTAGTGAAAATAATTATCCTATAATATAAATAATTATAAATTAAGATTAAAATAACTAATTAATTTAATTAAAATTAAAAAAAAATTAAAAATTTAAAATGAGATTAAAGTGTGTAATCATTTTCCAAAAAAAGAAAATGACATGATATGTGGAACGGACAGAAACGACAATGTGAACATGGTATCTGGGACGGGAGTATTTTGTAACATGTAGATTTTTTATTCTAAACTATACTGCATAGTAAACAAATTGCTTCAATCTTTTTCCATTTGCATGATGTGTTAATGTAAATAGAGATTGAATAATTTGCCATAGAAATAAATATGATAATACTACCACTGATTTTTTTCAAAAATTTCAGAATCGAAACAATAAAAAATTGGGAAGTTTATATGTCCACGTGCAATGTATCGCTGGCTGATTCAGACTGCCAAGATTGCGTCCACATTCACGATATCCAGGTGCCTCATCATCGCCAAGACAGTTTGTCAACTTCCCCACGCCTTCTGTGAAAAAGCCCCAATCTACCCTTCCGTCCGATTTTCTGAACTGAATATACGGAACGGCAATTTAGTCATTGCAAGCTTTAGTCAATAATGGTGTAGACTGTAGAGCCATCGCGTATATTTTATTATTATAAAGGAAATGAAAAGCAAGCACACCAAACGTGACCGCATATTCCGGAAGCTTTCTCCGGCATGGCTCCGGCGATCGATTCGAACGGAACTGAGGCTCCTCTTCTTCCAAGTCATGAGTCCAGAGAGAGGAAACCGGCGTCGGTGCCTGGGGCAGTGTTCAATATTTCGACGAGCATCATCGGCGCTGGGATAATGTCTATACCGGCGACTCTTAAGGTTCTAGGAGTTATTCCTGCTTTCGTAATGATTGTGTTAATTGGAATATTGGTGGATGTATCCGTTGAGTTCATGTTGAGATTCACGTATTCCGGCGAGTCGAGGACTTACGCCGGTCTGATGAAAGAATCGTTTGGACGAACAGGATCGATCGCCGTTCAACTTTGCGTGATGATTACCAATCTCGGTTGCTTAATCATGTATTTGATCATTATCGGTGAGCACGATCTTAATTTATTTTGTGGTTTAGCAATTCCAGCTAGGATTTTAGCTTCGTTGCCAATGTTTTCTTTACAGAAATTGTTAAATTAGCATTCCAATTGATTTAGAAAACAGAGATTGCTCGAAAAATCTATTATACAAATTTAGAGAGTCGATAAACTCTAATTTGAATCATCCCCTGTTCACAAGATGGCGTTCAAGAGTTCTGAATTCTAGTTGCAGCAGCAAATTTGCTCGTAATAAAAACTGATTGTTTGTTGTGTTAGGGGATGTACTTTCGGGGACAGGGCCAGAGCACTTGGGCGTTTTGCAAGAATGGTTTGGGGTTCAATGGTGGAACATACGAGCTGTGGCCATTCTGTTCGTTGTACTTTTCGTCTTGTTTCCTCTTGTTATGTTTCGAAGAGTTGGTATGTTTTCTTCATTTATCTGATATCATCTTCTTACGGATTGTATGAAACATATTTGCATAGCATAGGTAGGTTGCATAAATCTATCCATCTTTGAAGTACTAGTTTTACATCATAGAAGTTGGAAAAGAATTGTTCTTCGCAGAGAAGGGAAATCCATTTTAGTCAACTAGTTTGATTAATCGACACATTGCTTCTTTAATTCGCATACATTCCAAATCAAATCTGTTTGAGATCATCTAGTAATATTACTTTACTTTTGGGTTTGGTTTCGGGTTTGGCAGAATCAATGTGGCTGAGTTCGGCAATATCAGTCCTCTTAGCAATAATATTTGTCGGTATATGCTCATTCATGGCAATCACTGCACTCGTTCGCGGAGAGACCAAGAACCCAAGAATCCTACCCGACTTTGATAATGGCGGGGTGTCTTTCTTCGATCTTTTCACTGCTGTCCCAGTTATCGTCACTGCATTCACTTTCCACTTCAATGGTAAGAACATCATGCAATGCAAACTAGATCGATTATTGATTATTATCATTATTCAAATGCTCTGTATTGTTTGAATCCTCCTAACAGTGGTATATGTACACTGCAGTTCATGCAATTGGAGTTGAGATGGGGAAACCTGCGGACATGATGAGTGCCGTGAGAATTGCATTAGTACTGTCGGGCGCCATATACTTCACCATCGGGATTTTCGGGTACCTTCTGTTTGGGGAGGGAACAATGGACGACATACTGGTGAATTTCGACAGGAGTTCTGGATCGAGCATAAGCCCTATTCTGAATGACATAGTTCGGTTGAGCTATGCGCTGCACCTGATGCTGGTGTTTCCTCTGTTGAACTTCTCCTTGAGGGCCAACATCGACGAATTCCTGTTCGCTAGGAGGAACGGGAAGGCTGTTCTCGCCGCCGTAGACACGAGACGGTTCGTTATTCTCACAGTTGTCCTGCTTCTACTGGCTTACATTCTAGCCATTGCCATACCCAGCATCTGGTATCTATTCCAGTTCATGGGCTCTACTTCTGCTGTTTGCCTTGCCTTTATTTTCCCTGGCGCCATTGCATTAAGGTAGGCTCTCTCTCTCTTTCACATACGCACATACATTTAATCCATTTGTCTAGCAGTTTCTTTTTTTTTTTTTTTTTTGTCTAGCAGTTAGTTATCTAGTTGTCTGTCACCTAGCCCGGATTATGATAAATAGAAACGAGGACAGAAAAATAAAAATACCAACGTTTTTCAAGTTGAGAAATAAGTTAGATTTATCTTTTGCGTTATTATACTTAACATTAAAAATATGGGATATGGTTTATTGGTATAATTTTTTATAAAAATCTCCAATTAGTAGTAAATTATTTTCTCTCTTAATTTCATCTCTCTCAAAGAATAGAAATAAAATAAAGAGCTTTATTTTATTTTTATTTTTTTACATTTATTTTTTACAATTTAATTTGTGTTTTTTTTTTTACTATTATTTATTATTTTATAATTTTTATATTATACAAATCTCATGACATATCATATTCAAATTATTATTAAAATAAATTATCAAACTAAAAATATAATTTAAAATACAATGATATATTTTATCTAATTTATTAATTTTCTGTGATCGATTTTTTTTTTTTTTTTCAATTAGCAATATAGCGTTGTATTTTTTTTTATATTTATCAACTTGAATTCTCTGTTGTACCAAGCAAAAGAATCAATTCTCATTCTCCGCATTTTTATTATCTACTATCATTTATCGGCATTTTCATAGAGAGAGTACCTTTAAATTAAAGGAGACTTCTTTCATCATATTTGTTGAGACACACTTATGTATGTAATAATAATGTGTTGCGTTGAGTGCAGGGACATTCATGGAATCTCAAGCTCAAAGGACAAGATTACAGCAGCAGTGATGGTAACACTTGCAGTAATTACAAGCACCATAGCTATTTCCACCAGCATATATAAGATGCTAGTAGTGCTTCCAACTACCTGATTCACCTTCTCAACCTTGTTGTAATTCAACACGTGTAACACTCTTATGTAAGTTATTTATTATTTTATGTTTGGCACCAACCATGTGTAGATTTATTTATTTATTTAGAATTTGTGTAGTACAATGTCTTTTAAAATTTGTAGAATTACAAAATTGGCTTTTTGTATAAATTTTCAGCTACATGTTGAATACTTTGATTATCATGTAGAATTTTTTGTTATTTATATATTGAACAGTGAGAAATTGTTGAATCAATTTGTTGAATGAAAGATTTGGATCTTCAGGGTATGTTTGTGCTGTAGTAAAAATAAAATAATAATAGTAAAAAAGAGATAAAAGAGATGACAAATGGACATAAAAAATAAATCACAGCATATAAATGGTCTCAGTAAAATAACAATGAAATAAAATGTAAAGTCTATTGCAAGAAGAAAATAAATGCAAAAAAAGATAAAAAAGAAAATAGAAATTAAACGAGACTCAAAAGTTCTTATCAAAGCCTAGTTTGTAGTCTATTAAATTTGGCCGGAGTTTATTCAAAAATAAATGCCCTCAACTCTTTCTTTCCATCTCAAAAGTCATTTTCCTTGTCCGGCAAGGGATGACCTGCTAATATGAGAATTGATTTGTAATTGTGTGACTTGTCTTGTCGAATTTAATTTACTGGCTATTAAATTTGACCGAAAATTTATCGAGAATGTATCTGAATGATAGCGACTACGAGTTCTTATATTATGGAAAGAAAAAAGAAAAAAAGAAAAAAAAGAAGAAGAAAAAGCCACTTCCCTATTTTAAGTCCTCCCCGTTTCTTTACATCCCAATTGTCACATTCTTTTGTTTGGTCCACAACAAAACAAATCAAAAGATATCTACGATTTGCTACACATGGTTAACCTAGTGTGACTTGTCTGTCGGTCCTAGTTTGCAGGGTATGCGCACTTTCAAATAGCAGCTGCGGATTCCCACATCATTGAAAAAAAAAATAAAATCTAGGACTAAAATCTTTTTCATTGGCTCAAATAACACAAGCCCAATTTTACTTTTGGACCAAGTCCAACACCATTAACTTTTACAAATCCTTTCGGTCATGCCTTCAATCTATATCATGTGGTCTATTGAGCTAAGTCAACAATTTTCCTCCAAACATATATCGACCTTGAATTGCATGATATTATTATTCTTTTATTTTTTATTTTTTATTTTATGACGTGCAACCCCCAGTCGCTATCCAAAAATGCACAATGGGTAAAGCTCCGATCAAACTTAATACCTTACAAACTAGGCCCGACAACCAAGTCATACTAGACGTACTATGTGTGGCAGGTGACCTGATGCATCGGTGGTTTGAACCCATGATATATATCTTTTTTTTTCGATCTTACAAAATTTGCCTTCTCTCGAACTCGAAGACCCATTGTGACAAATAAAGACCCATTATGACAAATAAATTGTCTGTAAGTCTCTTGCTTAGGAATCTCATTGAGTGTTGCTTTATTAAAATGCAATATGAAATTTCCAACCACTAGCAAGATGACAAATAGGCCACTTTTTGGGATGTTTACGTCTGAGACTTTATATGACTGTTAACTTTCTGGCATTTGGTTATTAAATCTTCAACCATCTTCGGCTTTTAAAACAAGGAATGATCTCTGGATGAAGAAAAATGATTCTTCTTCGTATCGATCATTGCTTAGTGGTTATTTATTTACTTTTTACATTATTATTATTTTTTTATTTTATATTTTTGTTATGGAATGCAATAATTTAAGAAAAAAAATTGTATTGGACAAAATTTTAGTTTAACATATATTTTGTCTTTCGAAGTTCTATGATCTTGTTAATTATTAGTGTGCGTTTCATAAGTAGAATTGTTTAGAGTTACAAGAAGTATTCAACTAGTCGCATAGCTTAGCTAGCTCATCGAAGTATTTTATTTATAAGTTGAACCCTAAATCAAACTCCAATAAATAAATTAAAACACCTTTAGACAAATATACAATATTTCATTCTCAAATATATTAATTCATTTGAGAAATTAAATCATGGTGCTACTTGGATCGTATGTCTATGAAGAGACCCTTGTAATATGAACGGTGAGGTGCACATTCTTATAATACTTCAATTAGTATTTTATAATACTAATAGAAGAATATTTGTACAAAACATTATACAAATATAAAGATATTTTTAATATTAATTACAATAACGCAAAAAGTAGATGTGACCCTTAAAAGCGGAGATAATATATCAATTGTAATTGAGGAATTTTTTAAATGATAAATATCAATAACATAAATATAAAATATAATATATTAAAAAATATATATATATATAATAATGCTGATGATAATGATAATCATATATATAATATAATATAATATAATAATGATAATAGCAATAATAGTAATAATAATAATAATATAATTTTAGTTTATATATAGATATAATGTAAGGAAAAGTCAAAAACAAAACTTTACCTTTGAAGTAGAAGCAGAGGGCGAACGCAGGGAAAAAGAAAAAGAAAAAGAAAAAGAAAAAAATGATTTAGCGGTTCGATTTTAATTCTGATTTTGGTATGATGTTCCCTGTGAATAGATTTTAATTATAATTTTTAAAATAAATTTGGATATTGGTGTATTAAATTAGAAATTTTTTAAAAAAAAATCATAATTGACTATTTAGCTATTTAATCAATGAATTTATTTAGCTAATAGGTTATTCGTAACCCTAACGTCATATTTTGAGAAATTCGTATTGATCCAAACATAATTGAAAATGACAGTGTATTTTACCTACCCGTTTGATCATATCCTTAAGATTTTTATTTAATAATCGGATGATATAAATATTATGAGGCATAAGAGCTTTATAACAATAATATAGTATTCCACCAAATAAAAAAAAAAGTTTGAAACCCAACGAGATAGTTATAGAAATTAGCTTTTGAATAAGCAGTTAGCTCATGCTATTATGGTGTTCCTGTTTTAATTTGAAATTGAGGGTTGCTTTAGATCGTTTCGATCGTTAGAGGGGAGTCCGGGTGGATGCTTCGTATTTTCTATCTGCATATAAGGTATGAACGTAAATATTGTAAGCCAAATAGCCATCAGATTGTGCCTAAAATGAATAGGCAATTGATTATATATTCGGTTGTGTGCTTAGATGTGACTTGTGATTAAGTAAAATACATGATTTGATGTGCTTATGTATTTATATGCTTTGTCTGATTATTGCGGTATTAAGTATCGTTTAGCTGAGAGTGGACTATCAATATGACATTGATTATCATTTAGCCGGGAGTGGACTATCGATATGGTATTGATTATCATTTAACCGGGAGTGAGCTATTGATGTGGCAGTAATTATTGTTTAGCCGAGAATAGACTATCGATATTACATTGATTATTATTTAGTCGGGAGTGGCTAGCGATATGACATTGATTATCATTTAGCTAGATTGGGTTATTGATGTGGTATTGATTATCGTTTAACCGAGAGTGGACTATCTATATGACATTGATTATTGTTTAGTCGGGAGTGGGCTATATGACATTGATTATCGTTTAGCCGGGATTGAGATATCGATGTGGCATTGATCATCGTTTAGTCAGAATTGGGCTATCGATGTGGCATTGATTATTGTTACTTAACCGATCTTAGGTAGGTCAATGTAGTTAAGTACGTAGGAGCCTTGTTGACCTACTTAAGTACTGGTCTGAATTCAATTTTGATTATAGAGAGGTATCAGAAGGATAAAATCATTAATGAAATAGATTTTGAAATGATCAATTGGACATATGTGCTTGTGTATCGAGTCTAAAAAATGTCTAGTGATAATAGTTTTTCTTGCTTAAAATGTTTTAAATCTGGGTGTCATTGAAATCTTGTTGTAAATTCTTTAAGGTCAAATACCAGTGAGTCAAGAATCTGATCTAAATGAACAAGTATGATCACATGCATTTCTTCTGACATTTCGGATTATATGTACATATATGTTTTGTTGATTCACCTTCACCATCTCCTCATTCCATGTATGAGAATCTATTCATTAAGTAATGCAGAAATCACACAAACGCCTCTGTATACTCTCATTCTTGATTTACTATCGCTCACTTATCCGCTATCACTATCACCCGTGCTTGTTAATCATCATATCTATATACATATATTGCTCACATACCATCCATACCGCTCCGTTCATCTGTGCATTCACAACATCCACAACTTGCAAGTCGTCACTTTGCTCACGACCACTACTCACTCATCTTTACTGCTTTAGTTACTTTATGTTTTTTACGACGACCGAGCCACTTTACTACTTTTCTGAATCATCTGGTCTTAGTAAGTTTTCTTTTATTTAATTTCATAACTTAAAATTTTTGTGTTTGACCAAAAAAACTCACCAGTTAAAAAGTATAAAATTATTTATAAAATATCATTTTAGGGTCTATAACAACATCATTTTTATAAATTCTATATCTGATTCTTTGCTATAAGCCAAGATACAATTCCATTTTAATCCATAAAAAATCCACAATATTGCCGAAAAGTCATATACAGTATGATCTTCATCATCAAGGAAGACACAATCTTCATTTACACATACGAGAAAATCGAAAGTATGAAAATTTCATCAACTTAATTCCTATTAACAATGATGTGACCATCAGGATAGCTTCTAAATCATCAATTTTTCTAGCTGAAATGAATACCCGGAGCCGAGTTCGAAAGATTCAAATGGCTATGTTTTTCTTGGACAATTGCACCATGGATTCCATTATTGAAGAGACTGCCAAAAATAGACCAACTATGGAGTATTTTAAGTTTGATTATCCGATCACTTAATCATCCCAAGATCATCATTAGAAGATCCGAGACTTCCTACCGAGACAACTAACAAAGAATATCAATAATATGGAAGGAGTCCAAAGTTTCCAAATTATTTTTTTCCTTATAGTATAAGTTTCCTTTTATTATATTTCCTAATAAGTTGTTTCCTTAATTTTCTATTTCCTAGTTTAGATGTTGCCTTTTAATATGTTTGCTTTTTTCAATGTTTCATTTCTTCTATCCTCAAGGACTTCTATATAGAGGCTTGTTTATCATTGTGTAAAAACACAATCATGATATTTCTTATAAAATTTCTTTGCTTTCAATAGTGATTCTTGCTTGCTTGATTATTCGAGATTGTGCGATGCAATCCTCGATAGTCTTTAAAAATCGGGTTGTTTTCGAGTGATTCGAGATAGTTTGTCGCTTCTCAATCGGTGCTGGGCTGCTTGTTGCGTCAACTCCATTCCTTAATTGGTTTTCGAGTGATTCGAGACAGTTCGTCGCCTCTCAATAGTGTTTTTTTTTTTTGAATCTTATCAATTGGTGTTTTGGCATAGGTGGATTTTGTTGTAGGGAGATCTTTTGTAATTGAAAATATTCTATAATTAGGTGTGGAGTTTTATGATACCCATTTTTTATTTTATTTTATTGTATTTTATTTTTAAACGGAGAGTTTTATGATACATTTTGATTAGGGTTAGCATTGATTTACAAACTCGATTGACATAGTGGATTTTCGTATCAGAGTCGGACGATAAACCTCGTGGTTTTTGTCATTCAACAAGAATGTTTTCATATAAATATGTTCGGTGTTTAATTTCATTATATATATAGTTTGTTATTATTTATGCGTCTCTTGTTTGTTGGTGAAAGAATTTTTATTTTTTCTAGTGAAGAAAGTTCGGAGGTACAACATAAATACACATTCGTTAGTCGTGCCCACAATTAGTGGCTACAACCAAAATTTGTCATTCATGAATGACCATGCGCCGAGTACTACATCTTTTGTTTCTTAGTATGCCTATGCACAAGGGATGATTTTTAATTTATAATTTTCTTATTCGCCCGTCTTTTCCCAAACACTATTGTTATGACCAATTTCGATCTAAAAAAAAAGCTTTATTATTATTATTATTCTTATTTTTTTATGGAATGCGATAATTTAAGAAAAAAAATGTATTGGACAAAATCTTGGTTTAACATATATTTTGTCCATATAAATTTAGAAGTTCTATGATCTTGCTAATAATTAGTGTCCGTTTGATAAGTAGAATTGTTTAGAGTTACGAGAAGTTTTCAACTAGTCGAGCAGCTTAGCTAGCTCATGTAAGTATTTTATTTATAGAAGTTGAACCCTAAATGAAGCTCCAATAAATAAATTAAAACACCTTTGGACAAATATACAATATTTCATTCTCAAATGTATTGATTCATTTGAGAAATTAATTCATGGTGCGCTACTTGGATCGTATGTCCATGAATGAGGCCCTTGTAATCTGAACGGTGAGGTGCGGATTCTTGAGCGCAAAGTCGTCGAACCTGGGGGAGAACACCACGTCTTCCATGTTCCTCACAATGAAGCTAAGCGTAGTGTCCTTGAGCGACTCATTGGAGCATCTGTCTGCAATCTCCACAATGTCCAGCGCATTTCGGGAGCTCAGGCTCGCCAACATATGATGCTCGCAGAACTTGTGCAAGAATGGTATCTGATACTTGTCGGCTGCCACAGACAAAGCGTACACGTGCTTCTCCGCCCGTTCCTTACTTAGGCTCCCACTGTACAGGAATTCCAGCAGCGCTTCCACCTCCTCATGTCGCATCTCCGCCAATGTTATTGTCTCTCTCCCTGTTGCCGGCGGACCCTTGCATTCGTCGCTCTCCAGAATGTTCTTGAATACCTCTGATCGCGTTGCCTAAAATGAAAAAAAAAACATTCTAATATTAATAATCTATAATCAAAACGGTCGGTTGGCTAGCCTTTTATTATATATTGTATAGCCATAGATGGAAAAGTACATGGGGACTTGGGGGGCAATTGCCCTTTTCAAAATTTAAGTTTATTATATATTTTAATTTATATTAATATAATAATTTTAATTATATTTTATTTAAATAAAAATATAATGTTTTTAACTAAATATTATTAAAGTGTCTCCTTGCATTATATCTGTTTGAACAAAAAAATGACGATTCACGATTTGAAATATATTAAATTATCGAACCATAAAAATTTAAAATCTAGTAGACAATTCCGCCCCCTAACTTCGGAAGCTAGCTCCGTCCCTGTGTATAGCTATCAAGACATAAGACCGACAGAATTTACTTGCATATATTTTATAGGGTTGGCTCGATAACATTTGAAAAAAAAAAAATAGTACCAAGCAAGCTGCAAATTATATGTTTAAAAAAAATTCTATTTATGTACACAGGGATCTCCAATCACTTTACTATCTAGTCTATCTTGCGCCCTTGTACAATAGTGTTACAGGGGATCAGACTTCAAGGGAAACGGATCTAAGAGAGAAGGTTCAAAGACGAAGGCGAATGAGGAGCCGGAGCCCTCAAGCCGTAAAGCCAACCAACTATAAAACCTAGAGTGGGTTGTGATCAGTTTGGAAATGTACACATCATGGGCATGAGGCCCAATCTCAACCCCGAGGAAGAAAATAGACACAACGTCGAGTAATGGAGAGAGTGGTTTGAAATAATAACTAACTCATTCCCTAAAATCTAAGAAGTTGTTGCACTTTCAATTCTTTAGGTTATATTTAGTAAAATTTCACATAATGTACACAAAATTCAATTCACGCATCTTATCCAAAATCAAGTTTATCTTTTTATTTTTCAATAGTTTATCTGTAGATTTTAGAAAGTTTATCCAATTATGTCTTATTTTACATTTTCTTTTATCAATTTCAGCATACTTTATGTTAAATTAAGTTTCCAACATGTTTTTATCCAAATTTGAGTAAATTTTAGCCAAATTTTTCCAAATTCAACCGTTAAGGCTTGAAGCTATGCAACGGCTCTATTGCCGGAGCTGCTTCCTAATCCGATGACGAACAGACTTTGTGAAGTACTTTCGGTACTTACACCGTTTGATCTTCGGACGCATTACATCAAAAGAGGCTCCGAGCCCCTTTCAAAAAATTTAAGTCAGAACCTCTCGATAATTCATTTTCGATTCCAACAATATGATTTCATATAATATAATAAACCAAAATTTGGTTATAATAAATCGTATATGATCTCTTTATTAATAGATTTAACGACGAGATATATATATTTTCAATTAAGTTGTAAAATTAATATTTTTTTCGGTCATTGAAATTTGTAATAAAATGATTGGACATATATTTAAAAAAAAGATTATAATTGTTACTTTTTTTTTATAATATATAAAAAAGTAATGTATTTTATTACTTTAAAAAAAGAATATTTTATTTGTGACTAATTATATATATAAAAAAAATGTAAATATAAATTTGTAGAAGCGATGGAATAATAAGTAAGTAATGCAGGCACCAACCAGCAATGCCCTATGTGCGGGAAGAGGCGGTCCGCTATCTAGTCCAGGCTTGACATGAATATCGGCATGCATTTGGTGCCGAAATGCCTCCCCAAAGCTGCTTAGATACCCAATCTTCTCTTGCAGCTCTTCTTCCAGTTCTTTCATCTCCTTCACCCATTTTAGTGCGTTGGCGAATCCCTTATATATCATTTATTACGTACATACTTACAGATTAATATATATCAAAACATGATATATAGAGTATAACATAAACGGAAAAAATCATTTTTTATCCCAATATAATTAAAATTTATTAATTTTAGTCTCAATATAAAAATCTTATCAATTTTGATCTCAGTATAATTAAAACTTATCATTTTTTGTTTCAATATAACCAAAACTCATCATTTTTTGTCACAATATAAAATTTCTATCAATTTTAGTCTCAATATAACCAAAATTCATCATTTTTTGTCACAATATAATCAAACCTTATTTTTTGTGGTCCCACCGTCAACAAATCGACGAAAAATGATGACGTGGACTTGCAAGATTGTGCAATTTCTTCAAAGATAAATATAAGGTTTGATTTCTTTTTACGTCAGCATTTTTCGTCGGTTTGTTGACGGTGAGAACAAAAAAGATAATATTTGATTATATTGGGACAAAAAATGATGAGTTTTGGTTATATTGAAACTAAAATTGATAAAAAAATTTATATTTGGATTAAAAATGATGAATTTTGATTATATTGGGACAAAAATGATGAGTTTTGGTTATATTAGGACCAAAATTGATAAGATTTTTATATTGAGATCAAAATTGATGAATTTTAATTATATTGAAACAAAAAAAATGATTTTTTCCCTAACATTAATCACAACTCTTGTTATAGAAAACTCAATTTCATCAGGTGGAACATTTAGCATCTATTATATCATAAGTAGCATAAATGTATAAATAAATATAAGGTCACAATTAAGGTCCAAAATTATATAATTCAACACAGTGCTTAATAGCACATCATATTTTAACATACATTATACAATTTTTTATATTAATATAATACAAATATAGCAAGATAACATATTACTATTAATTTCAATACATAATATATATTCATACAATACGACCTTAAATATAAACAATCGACATATTTACAAACAATAATAGTATGTTGTGTTATTTAAAAATATGTGTTGTTTGTCAGTTTTTAATGTGTTTATTAGGCAGGGGCAAGGCTCCCCTCCTCTACTCTACCCCTTTTATTTTTTAATTTAATAATAATATTTATATATATAAGTAAGTAAAAAGAAAATAGAATAAACCAAAATTTTATATAGGGTGTGTTTGGTTGGATTTTAAATAATAAAAAATTGAATATGTGAATATTTTTTATGTGATATAAATAAATATTGTGTGATATTTAAATATAAAATTAATTTTTAATAAAAGGAAAAAAAATTCCTAACGGAGTAACAAGTATGTACGAGAAAAAAAATAATCTTTTTAAGTGCAATTTTCTTCTAATAAAAAATATTTATCGATTTCAAACAATACCAAAATCAATACTGCAATATGCAGTTAATGTTTTTATAGTTTTTTATTTTGCAAAGTTTCTAAAATATGACATATCAAAAAAAAAAATAAAATTATCTGATAATAAATAAATTGTGTTATTTCAGAAATTTAAAAAACCAGCCCCCCTCTTTCCCTTTCGTTAATTTGATTATATATGTATGGTATGTATGTATGTTTACCTTATTTGTGGAAGCAAGGGGGGTAGTGGTGGTGGGTTTATCCGTGTTGGTATCTTGCTTGTTTGTGGTGAGCGTGATGATGCTCCGGGCACCTTCGTAGCATGCTGCGCAAATCGTGTTCCTCGGCGGTCTCAGAATGTACGGCAATGCGCTGCAAATCGAACAGTCCATATGTTATGTTACTACAAAATTATAAACCTAAGGCCAAGCCAATATCTTCTATATATATATATATATATATATAGATATATATTAGGATCAAATACCTAACTATACGTTCCATATATAATATTTTATATTCCCGATGCTATATTCTTGATATATATATATATATATACAACGGCGGCTACAGTGCTAAATTTTAGATTCAGCACTGTGCTGAATAACGTACAGTGTTACATAGACAACGAATAATATACGTTAATATAATACAAATACGTCACATAATCTAATAGCAAGCCTCACACAACACATATAATACTTGATTTTAATGACATTGTCTCATACAAAACACGCTGTAATTATAAACAGCATATACTATATATAATAAAAGCGTGTCTTGTTTCTATATTTTATATGTTGCACTGATTTTACAAATTCAACACGGTAACTTTCCCCGTCTATATATATATATTGATGAAGTTTATGATATAATAATATTGTGCTGGTGGTTATGTTTCGACAATATTAAGGGCTGGCCTGATTTAATTAATAAATTAATTAGTTAAATGAGTGGTTTGTAGTGTTGGGGGAGTTGGAAAGGCAGAAGGAATATTGGATTCAAGAAAAGGTAATCATTGCATAATTGCAATGTTGTGCGATTGCTTTAGCTGGGTATACCGTCTCCCGAAATGACGAAATTACCTACGGAGGATCATATGATGGTAGGAAAGAGAAGGGTAGAGTAGTCATTTCGTATGGGGATTGTGTAGGTGGCTCCGTGTCTTTTGAGTGGATTTGAAGAATAATTAATGAGGAGGAAATAGAAAATTGTTGAGACAACAATAGTTAGGAAGGAGACGAAGACTTTCCAACCTTTGTACAGCAAATATGTGGTACGCACGTTTGATTTAATAAACAACGATATAGAATTTCTTTTAATTAGTAATATTTAGAAAACTATTTCCGCGGGGGTGCTGACTAGGGTCGGAGAAATTTACCGAATATATCTAAATACCGACTTATCGTATTGTATCGTGTTGAATATATCAAAAATTTTGGTACAGTATAGGTATGAATTTTTGGAAAGTTCAGTATTGCGGTATAATATTGTACCGATATTATTTTTATTATATAATTTAATTATTAATATAAATAAGGGTAAACTGTTTTTTTAGTTCCGTAACTGGACCCTTTTATCATTTTAGTCCCGTAAGTGGAGCCTGTCGCAAACTAGTCCCATAAGTGAAAAAATTTTCGCTGTTTTAATCCTCTGACGCCGGAGACGCCTGCGTGGCTCGCCGGAGACGCCTGCGTGGCTCGCCGGAGGTGTCCCGCCGGGTCAGCGACACCTGACCGACACGTGGATTTACTTTTTTTTTTCATTTTTTATTTTTATTTTTTTTAATTTGACCAAATAAAAAAATAAAAAAATACAAATAAAATTAAAAATAATTTTAAAAAAAATTTTAAAAAATAAAAAAAATCCACGTGTCCGCTAGGTCAGCGACACCTGGCGGACACGTCACCTCCGGCGAGCCATGCGGGCGTCTCCGGCGCTGGAGGATTAAAACAACGAAAATTTTTCACTTATGGGACTAGTTTGCGACAGGCTCCACTTACGGGACTAAAATGATAAGGGGGTCCAGTTACGGGACTAGAAAAACAGTTTACCCTATAAATAGTAATTATTAATTTTTTTTAGATCATCACAAAAAATATGGAGACTATTGAAAATTTATTGATTTTTTCATAATATTTTTGTGGTGGAGAGCGGTAATATTTATTATTATTTTTTTCATTATTCTGAAATTTAAAATTATATTTTCGGTATAAGCAGTATATACCGGTATCGTATCAAAATCAAAATTTTCGGTATAAGCAGTATATACCGGTATCGTACCGAAATTGAAATTTTTGGTATAAACGGTATATACCGGTACCGTATTGAAAGTTTTAAGATACCGAAATTTGGTATGCCAAAACTTTCGGTACAATACTGATATATATTTTCGTCAATACCGAAAAGTTCGATACGATATCGGTATCGATCGGTATTTTCGGTACGGTACAATATGTCATCTTTAGTGCTGACTACTTCCTCGGGAATGTCGGTATCCTCCTTATTGATAAAATCAAAAGCGTTCTAATTAGATCTCCACCGCTAGATTGAATGATATTTAAAGGTCGATATGGCAGGTAAATATGAATATATAATTTGTATTATATAATAAATAAAATAATTATAAATTAATGAAATGCATATATAGATTGGGGAGGTGATCATAAATTTTGAATTAATTATTTTCACACTAAAAAAATAAAAAATAAAAAATATTACACTCTCCGCCAATATCGATCAAACAAAAAAATATAGTAGTGGACCGTAGAGTAGAATGAGATGGAACCAAATTATATGCATTACGGAAAGTACCGGACCCTGTGATCGAATATAATATTAAAAAAAGTCGTGAACATCGTAATTTTTTTTTCCTTGTATCGCAAAAGTATTATATTGTTGATTTTTTTTTACATTATATTTTTTTTCTCCTTGAACAACATATTATATATACATACAAGATAATGATATTGGTTATTCAATATGTCGATAGTCGCAATTAAGAATTATTGAATTATTACCGAAAACATTTGAAAACTTCGGACATTCAATAGTATATGGATGGTTTGATATGAAAAAACAAAGATATCGACAATTTTAGATTTTATTGTGTTTGAAATAAATATTACACAAATATTACCTAAAAAATAATTATCATATTTCAACAAAAAGAGTGATTGATATTTTTTAAAACTTAACTCCGTTAATTTGTGTTAGATTTGATCCATAAATACATCTTGTATTTAATAAGAAAGTAAAAAATAAATAAATCAAACTTATTCATTAGAATTAATGTTTCGCATGTAGAATATATTGCATCATATTGCGTTTATGTAAACATCATTGAAAACAATATACACTGTGTGTAATTTACCATAAAATATCATAATAATGCTACAACGACGTCATAAATCATAGATCTATACATCATTACGTTTTTCATTGGTAAACATTCTCTAAAATATAATTATCATGTTTAATCGGTTATTCTGAGAAATCATAACCTAAATCGATTTTATCATATAAGATAATGAACATCATATAATATCAAAATTTAGACTTGTTACTTATTTACAATTCAAACTTATTTACCCTTAAATTAAAACCAATAAAAAATATATACATAGAGAATTGATACAAACTTTAAATCAAAGCAAATTCACATATTTTTTCTATTATTTTAATATTAAAAAATCGTATAGAATAATTATCCTATCATATGTTAGGTAAAAAGGGAATGGTAAGTATTTAATTACCCAATATTTAATTATCCTATCATAGTGTCCTATCATTTTGTTTGGATAAAATATTATCTTATTTTTTTCTCCAACCATTTCAACTTCCTTTCCCACCATATTTCATCCGCTTGAGCAATGCAAGTGCACCAGGCCGATTGAGTCATTGGGCTGGACAGATCCGCAAGCCCGTTCATTGATCTAGACCTTCTGCTAGGCTACGAATCTCCCAGGGCTTGGGCTGTACTTGTACTAGGCTGGCTCAATTAGTTTTGGGTGTGTACAAATGCCCCCACAAAATTTATTTGGACACAACTTAATTCATAGTTCGGATAATTTTGTAAAATCCCCCGTGTTTATATCAACTTGTGCGCGCGAGTTTTAAATTTCCTACCATAGCCAACTCATCCGTGTCGGATCATGCCCCGCACCAAAGTCAATTTCACCTCAAGAATTTCCTTTTTGATGCTATGCCCACCTTTTGGTTACCCACTAGTAGCCAACATCTAAGATTTGCGTTCAGGAAAGTCGGTTTCTGCTTATTTGGCCTGTCTTACAGTGTTTTCGTCTTCCGTAAGGTCGTAGTCAACCACAGCCGAATCATGCCTTACATTGATAAACGTCTTCAGTTTCTCCCCATCGGGCTCCATCAACCTATATACGCCACTAGATGATTTAGCCGATACGATAAACGGCCCTTCTCACGTGGGGGACCATTTTCCGAGCTTTGCATATTTGGGGCCTTCCGGGAAGACGATCTTTGCATATTTGGGGCCTTACGTGCTTTCGAAAGATCGATTCGGCCTTCTTTTTTGATGTCAAATGCATTTAAGAGTCTGCAGCCTCTTTTCAGGCAGAGCTTCGAGCTCCTGGAGCAAGGTCTTATCTTGCCCTTCCATCAAAAGTTGTTTCATCTTCAAAATTCAGAGAGAAGGCACTGTAATTTCCAACATAAGTACAACATCATGGCCATAAGTCAGCCTGTAAGGGGTGCTTCTGATTACGAAGGATTTGGCGTTTCGATACGCCCATAAGGCCTTCTACAAAGTGTCATGCCAACCCCTCGGATTGTCTTCCAATGCCTTCTTGATAATGGAAATTAAAATTTTGTTCATCGCCTCGGCTTTCCTATTGGCTTGAGGGGAGTACGAAGAGGAGTTGAGCAGCTGGATCCAGTATTGGGCTATAAACGTCTTGACCTTCGCGTTTATATATGCGGTTCCTTGGTCGGTGGTTATAGTCTTAGGAATGTAAAACCTATGAATAATATTATTCTTAATAAAGCGTAAGAAATCATTATGTTATATCTTTGCCAATGGAATAGCTTCCGCCCACTTCGTGAAGTAGTCGGTAGCTACGAGAATAAATGGATGTCCATTGGAAGATTGAGGGTGAATCTTGTCGATGATGTCCATCGCCCATGCACAAAAAGGCCAATGTTTGATAATCATATGGAGTTTTTCCACAGAGACTCATCGAAGTGGTCCGTGGAGCTAGCATGCTGGACATCTCCGAGCATAATCTATGCAAGCCTATGAGATTCGTGGCCAAAAATAGCCATAATAGAATATTGTCCACTCATAGCAGGTCCAGCCCTATGGGCACCTCCAACACTTTCGTGGACCTCTACTATGACCTTCATAGCATCCTCGTGACCCAAACAATGTGTTAAAGTCCCATCGGA